GGAGGAACTAGATAGAAATTTGATGATTTGATGGGGGCTTTGGGGGTTCCATGACACTGAAGATGTGTTTTAAACCGAAGGCAAGTCCAGCCCCAAGCTTGTCAGGGACCACCCAGCATGCATTCTTCCTCTCCAGGGTCACACAGGTTTGCTTTGGGGAGGTGCTTGTCTCCCCTTGCATGCAGGTGGTAAATCAGGGGGCCCTGCCCACCCACTCTGAAATTCCCTTCTTCCAGAAGCCCCTCTCCTGACGTGGAATATTGGGGGAGGGGCAAGGTGCTAACTGTAATGAGCATACCCCTGCAGCAGACCCCTGGTTTTTCCAGTATCCTGCCCTCTCTGAGCCTCGTTCACCACCCTCTTGTCCAGTGGGCGAGCACTCAGCCTGCCTCCTACATCCCCTTAGATGAGCTGAAATTGGGTTCTGTCACTTTAACCATAGCATCCTGTCTGGTGCATTTGCTAGAAGGGGCTCAGTCTCAGACAGCACACCTCGAGTATCTCCCCTCTCCCCTGGCTGGTAGAGATGTACTGGAGAGACTAAAAGGTATAACAGCCCATCTGGGATCAATAGCTCTAAAGTAGTTTGATCCACGGCCAAGGGACTGGGTCCTCTAAGAGGAATTGGTCACCCACAGACTTAGGGCAAAGATGAGCAATATCAACTTTTTTTCTAACTTATAAACAGCTCGGCAACCATCTGTCCTTGATGTGAACTCCATCTGCCCGTCGGCTGTGTGTGTGTGTATGTGTGTGTGTGAAGGGAGGGAGGGAGGCCCATTTTCCCTTGCAGGCTTTCCCACTGGCCAATTCTGTTAGTGGAGCCAGACGTTGATGATAAATAGGTTCGGAGGATAAGGACAGGACAGCCTCTACATTTTGTTGTGGTCTAGCTCCTTTCTTAATAACAGACATTTAGGGCCTCCCTGGTGGCGCAAGGGGTTAAACACCACACTATGAAGCAATCCACAGCCTCTGCAGCATGAGTTCGATCCCCAGCCAGGGAGCTACCTACATGGTGCAGCAGACCTCTCCTGACTCGCCCACTGCTCCCCTCAGCAGTGTATTTTATCAAGTCTGCCTGTTCTGTTCCCCACTCTGTCTCTGGTGAATCCTCTTAGGCCCCCACCTCTGGCCTGTACCCCAGCTCTTGCATGCATAAATAAAGCAATCTTTAAAAAAAAATTTAAAAAAATAATAGACATTTACTAGCCACTGGTCACAGCACAGCACTGGATGAAGAACGACACGGGTCAGTAAAAGAGGAAGACAGGGCCTCTGCTCTCAGGGAGCTGGGAGTAAGTCACACCCGAGAGCTTCAACTCTAAGAATAGCTGCAAAAAAAAAAAAAAGAAAAGAAATGTAAAAATGCATGCAAATTAGCATAGTAAAAAGTGAGCTTTCTATGATGTATGAAGCAAGTATAAAGTTTCACTGTCGGACATAAATAATGGCAGATTGTCATGAGATTTGAATGGGACAAATCAATATTAAAAAGATGTCCCCGGGTCCCCAAAGTAATATACAAGTTTTGTATGCCAATATATCAAGAAACCAGAATAACAATATAGAAAAACTAAATATTTGATGGGGAACTTGTTGTACATTAACAGTGACAGCTGCGATCAGCTGGGAGAGGGTAGACCGTCATGGGTGCAAGAGCAAGGAGCAAAGTCTTAGGGGAAACGAGCCAGTCTTTGCTTTGAACCACTTACAATGGCAAGCGGATTTAAGGGGGATACATTTTTTTTTAAGATTTATTTATTTATTTATACAAGCACTGGGTACAGTCAGAAGCGCGGGAGGGTGAGAGGATTCACCAGAGCCAGAGCAGGGAGCAGAACAGGCAGACTGATGAAATACACTGCTGAGGGGAGCAGCGGGCACGGCAGGGGAGGTCTGTCACTCCATATGGAATCATCGCTGGTGGCCGGGGATCGAACCGGTGCTGCAGAGGCTGCGGGCAGCATCGCAGCCCAGTGCTCAACCACTGTGCCACCAGAGGAGGCCTAAGGGGAATACATTTTTAAAGCAATAGGAGTAGTGGAAGGAAACAATGGGGATTATACTTATAATGAAGTGTTAGAATGACTCTTTTTAAAACAAAAGACAAAACACAAAGGCTTTAATGGGGAAAACACCCAATCACAAAATACAAAAGCCATATAAGATAAAACTATAATATACAGTAGGCTGGGAGAAAACCTTTGCCACATATACAATGACAGTAGCTACAGATCAGCAGGTAAAAGACAAAAATATGGAAAAACAAAGGATATGAACAGACACTTCGCAGCAGAGAATACAAATGACAAATACTGAACATATAAATCAGGGAAATGCAAACTCAGGACCTGTTTGTGCCGCAGATTGAATCAATCTTAAGATGAAAGACCCATTTTGTGCCCATCTAGGGACCAAAATGTAGAAGACAATGCCTGACTGATAAGGGTGAGGAAGGCAGGTACTCCAGGTATTACTGGTGGGAATGCAAATTAGTGTGTCTTTGGGGAGGTCATTTGGTGGTTCTAGAAGGTTCAGACGCCCCTGGCAAAAAACTTCTCCAGAGCATAACTGACCATCCACCCAACTGAGGGAGCCCTGGGGACTGAGGCTCTGCTAGCTCACGCATGCACGCGCCTTGAGAATGCCCTCGCAGCCCAGTCTGAAAACGGCTCTAAGAGCCAGGAAAGAGAAAGGCTAGTGCTAGTCGGGCCCTCCATCAGGGCCATCACTGTCATGCGCGCCCCATCTCCCGGGCTTGCCCAGAGGCCAGTGCTCTGCTCCTTCACTGAGTCCTCCCAGTCAGCGTGGCCTGTGCCCAGGGAGACCCTCGGGCGAGGGAACCTGGCTCCATGGTGGTGGGGGGGTGTGCTTGAAAAGGGGGCGTGAGGTAAGTGGAGTCCCCTGAGTGTGCAGTGCTAGCCTGGGGTGCCCCGGGAGGCGGGGAGCACAGAGAAAGGGCAGCCCCTCCAGCAGCTTGACCGGGAGCTAGTCTTGTTGGACAGGAAAGAGCTGGTCTGGAGAAGCACCGGCTGTGAAAGGAAAGGAGAGGTGGTGCCAGGCGGAGGAAAGGCTCTTGGGATAAAAATAGCCTAGTACAGGCGTGCCTGTTTGGCTGGAGCCAGGCTGGAGGGGCAGGTTTGCGGGCACTGAGGCAGAATGAAGGAAGCAGGCACCAGGGTGTGGCGGGTCCAAAACCAGACCAGGCCCCTGCAGGGGGTGCAGCCATGGCAGGCGGGTGCCGGATGAGAAGCTGGGGGTGGGGGCTTCTTAGAGGGGCTGTTGCTAAGATTCAGAGGATTTGACAAGCCCTTGAACTGAGAACATGGTCTCAGGATGAATACGTGTCATTGTCGTGTGGGAAATCTGTGAATAAATCCAAAGGAGTGTAATTTTATTCTTTTGTCACGTTCTCTAAGACTACATTGTGTTCTGAACAAGATCAGAAGATCCGATATGAAGTGTCAACCCCCCCACCCCTTCCCCCCACTGACAGTTTTAACCTCAGCACATTTCTATTTTTAATTTATACGCTAAATAGAATTTTCTTCCAACTTTCTTCCAAAAGCAGTGGGGATCAGGGTTCTTCCACACACAATTTGGGGTCCAACTTGGTAGCCTGAAATCCTTCCTCAATTCCGGATCTACACCTCGTGTGGAGCGCGGGTGTCCAGCTGGCCTGTTTACAAGCCCCTCCCTTGTCACTTGTCCCTTCGATCGTTTCCAGACACCATGTCTCTGCACCTGGGGTGCTGGGCTCGCAAGTGGCTCCATGTTCTTAGGTCCTAAAATACCCGCCTGCCCCCAGGAGGAAGCTTGGGTGGGAACCAGCTTGCTTCAGGCAATAGCTTCCCTTCCCTTGAATTTGTGTAGGCCTGCGAGCTACTAAGGAGCTGGTTTCCTCTAAGAAGGGCTCCTTGGATCGCCTAGTCTGATGTAAAGATGGGAGTGATCGGCAGATAGGTTAAGCAAACCCCGTGAGCTAATATGGGGTGACGGTGTCGCTAACATCTGAACTTTGACTCTGGTTTCGAGAGAACAAGGGCCCTGTTAGCTCAGGCTTGGCCCAGAGTCACGGAAGGAAGCTCAGCAGCAGCGTCGGGAAGGGCTCACCCTGCCCTGGCTGTGGAGGAACCAGCTCTTCATGGGGCCTTGGAGCCTGCTGAGTCCCAGTAATTACCTGCTTTGTGGGTGTCGCATTTCCTACCAAGGACCAGAGTCATTTGTGAGTTCACAAGGGGTAGTTGTTAGGGCGACCTCATGCCTGGCTTTGGCAAACAAGCCTCTGTCCTTCATTAATCCAGCAAATATTTACATTGCTCTGCCCTTCCGGCACATCCTCCCGGGCATGTCAGGCGCCTCCCTCCTCTGCACCATGCATCACACACACACACACACAAACACACACACAAACACACACACAGAACACATACACGCACACACACACAGAGAGAGAACACGTACACACAAGGTACTTACAGGTTCTTAGAAGGGTTTGCAGCCCTCCCCAGGGTGCCAGAGAGCCACGGGTTTGCTTCCCCGAATACCTGCTTGGCAGCCTGTGCTGAAGAAGCACAGGAAGGTGCACACAGGAGCCTGGGCGCAGCGCTGGCTATTCTGTGCACATCCACTCCCAGGAGGCCCCAGCCCTGGCAAGCAGCATGTGTCACCATGTATTACTCGATTTCTTTTATTCTACATCGTGGAAATAACACACGGAATTACTTAACACCCCGAGTTTGAAATCCTGTCTGTACAAGCTCGTCCTGAGTTCTGAAGCTGATCTGATGTAGGAAGCTGATCTGATGAAGGATGAATAAGTAAATGGAGAACAGGGCCAAATCACGGCGTGGCTGTCAGGTGGGGGCGGGGGGGTCCTCAAATCCACCCTGACTATAGACTGTGTCAGGAAAGAACCTGAACGGCTTTGCTCAAAGGTGTTCCTGAGCCCTTTTGAAGGAACCTGGAGAAACTGAGCTCTCCTTCTTCCTTTCTAGATACATTCCACCGTTGATCTGGGGGAAAAGTGGCCACATCCAGACAGCCTTGTATGGGAAGATGGGCAGGGTGAGGTCGCCCCACCCCTACGGGCAACGCAAGTTCATCACCATGTCGGATGGAGCCACGTCCACCTTCGACCTCTTCGAGCCCCTGGCAGAGCACTGTGTTGGAGGTGAGCGGGTTGAGTGCCGGTCAGCTGGGGACAGTGTCCGCGCCACGTCCCGGCTCTGACCTCCTCATTGGGCAGTTCATGGATCGGAGCTCAAGAATCCATCCCTCGGGTTCTTTATACATATTAAGAGTTTCCAAATAGCTTTTTAGCTTAACCCTTGAAAGGAAAATTTAGGTTAAGATTTCATAACCTAAGCACCTCTTTTCTTGTAAAGAAAAATCCATATTATGCTTTCAAGGAGGTAATTTATGCTTGTGACAGATCATTCCAAAGGGACTGGAGGCTGCTCAGGAGGGTGGGTCTCCCCCCAGACCCTGAAGGCCTGCGTGGGCACCTGGGCCAGTGGATGCCCTTATAACATAAACATCTTCATCCTCACATCCCTGGGAGAGCTTGCCCCTCAGGGTGTAAAGATGCCTCATTGCTTTTCAGGGCTACATCTTATCTCACCACCCCTGGATGTGGGATAATATAATTAATAAGTCAACAATAATTCAATAATTCAGTGATCATTAATTAATATAATCAAGTAATATAAATAAAATACTGCTAGTTATTTAATAATTGATGATGACTTAATAAGTCAGTATTTTGCCACTATAATCTTCACTGCACCTCTATTGTCTTGCCTGTGTACACCTATCTGAGAAATGCCTGGAAGTCAAACTGCTAGGCCAGAGAGGTCTGTGCCAACACTGTTTTTTATTTTTCCACTCATGCATTTGTTCACTCCTCCCATAGGATTTCATCCAGAAATTAAGAGTGGTGTTCAGAAACTTGAAGAGCAGTTTGACCGTAACTTTATATATATTGACTGTAATAAACAGTTGAGAATTATATCTTTTTTTTTTTAAAGGATTGAATGAAGCTTCTTTTCTTTTTTCTTTTTTTAAGATTTATTCATTTATTTATACAAGCACTGGACAGTCAGAAGCGCGGGAGGGTGAGAGAATTCACCAGAGCCAGAGGGGGGAGCAGAGCAGGCAGAAGGACCAAAGTACACTGCTGAGGGGAGCAGCGGGTGGCAGGAGAGGTCTGCGCACCATGTGGGACCCTCCTCCAGTGGCCGGGGAGCAGCCGGGGATCGAACCAGCACCGCAGAGGCTGCGGGCAGCTTCGCAACCCAGCGCTCAACCCCTACGCCACTGGGGAGGCTCCATCCTATTGTATTTTTCAAGAGTGGCCTATCCATGATGGATTGGGAATTTTTTTTTAAGATTTTATTTATTTATTTATACGTACAAGAACTGGGGTACAGCCCAGAGGTGCAGGGGGGTAAGAGGATTCACCAGAGACAGAGTGGGGAGCAGAACAGAGAGATCTACTGAAATACACTGCTGAGGGGAGCAGTGGGGAGACAGGAGAGGTCTGCTGCACCTTGTGGGTCAGTTTCCTGGCAGGGAATCGAACTCAGGCCTTGGCAGTGATAGTGCTAAGACTCAACCCCTGGGCCACCAGGGAGGCCCACGCTGGGAATTTTTAAAAACCGGCCCTTCACCATCTGTGGTTAGGGAAGCCCTGGTCTAGGCAGCTGAGGCTAAAGGGAGACTTTCAGGGGGAGAAGATGCAGTTACGTCCCCGCCAACACTTAACCAGTGCAGAGTGGCCGTGGCCGCGGTCCTCACTGCTCCGCCGTCACACTGGATGTCTTTCTGGTCCTGCAGATGACGTCACCATGGTCATTTGCCCCGGGATCGCCAACCACAGTGAGAAGCAGTACATCCGCACCTTTGTCGACTATGCCCAGAAAAACGGCTACCGCTGCGCCGTGCTGAACCACCTGGGCGCCCTGCCCAACATCGAGCTCACCTCCCCGCGCATGTTCACCTACGGTAAGTGCGCAGCTGACGCGGCGGCCCCTCTCTCCGTTCTCACGTGTGTGCCTGCCCCTCCTCACCAACACCAGTGGCTCTAAGTTCCAAAGTTAAGGCCCCTGGTGAGAGATGGTGGGGCACGCAACTGTAACAGCAGTCAACTCGCACGGCCTCTGTGAGGCCAGGCCGGGAACCTACCCGTGCTCCGCACTGCCCCAGCCTGCTCGCCTCTTCCCCAGAGGCAGAAACCAAAGCTCCAGGGGTCGGTCTCAACAGGCCCCCTGAGGGTAAGTCTCAGAGCAGGGCCGGGACCCAGCACCTCATCACCTTCACCACCACCGCAGGGCTCTTGGACTGCAGGGGGATGGCAGGAGGGGTCCTGGCGCATGAAGCCATTGGATGTCAAGTTCCTTGAGGACAGGAACCTATCTCATGTTTAGACAAAGCCTTCTCTCCTTTCCTGAGAGGGCCATGCTCTCTCAGGCTGCTCTCTCCACTCCCTCTGGATTCTCACTTAACTCTTCTTCATGTTACACATACACACACACACATGCACGCACATGCACACATACATGTGCATAATCCACACGTGAATCAACACACGTCTGCCTGGGTGTAAACATTTGGGATGTCGATGACCAAACAATTTACAATGTGTTTTAATGAGAAACAACTGGATTGGTTGTTTCCTGTTATTTCCTGTTTCTTCCTCCTCCCGTGCCGTGCTGCCTTCATCTGTGCATCCGTGGTCTTACTTAGGTGCAGTCAGGGTCCATGATCTACAGTGATTTACCAACTTTATACACTGACAGAGAGGTGCGTGGTCATCACAGTCCATCTTCTCTCAGAGCGACACCACTGGTTTCGCTCTGTTAGGATTTTGCTAACCATTCCTCTTTGGAGACCACCTCGCTTGTTTAACATTTTGTTTTTATAAATGATGCTATAAATATCTTGCATGTAGAATTTTTCTCCTTCTCTTTGACTCCTTTGGCAAATTCTCAGGGGTCGGTATTTCGAGTCGACATTTTAGTCACATTTGCACAGATGGCCAGACTGTGCTCCCGCGAGGTGGCCCATCGTGAGGCTGGCCACCTACTCCCTGAGCCCTGTGTCCCCCTCCTCTGCATCAGCCCACACCTGAGGCACCCGTTTTACAGACTATTCTGCTCTGTAGTTGGTGGCTTGAGGATGTGGGTAACGATCCAGATATTCAGGTAACACAGGCAGATGGGGCGTAGAGAGAGGCAGGCTGGACCCCACAGCAGAAACGGGCAGAATAGCAAAAGGGCAACAACAAAGGGCTATAAAATCCTCTGAGTCAAGGAGGAGGAAACAAGTCTGGCCCTCGGGCCCAAGACAGAGACCAGAGAGCACCAGCTGACCGCAGTGGCCGGCAGGGGCACCTCACCTGGCCCAGCAGCATAGCACATGGCAGAGCCCCCTCATCTCCACAGCCACCCAAGAAACAATTAGCAAAGCGGCCTCAGATGTCAGGGCAAGTCTGGGTCTATGGGTCCAGGCCCACCCCCTTAGCACTGTCCTGGGGCTGTTGAGAGGGGCAGGAATTGGGAGGCCTTCAAACCAAGTCGGCAGGGGGATGTGGTCATAGAGAGGGAGCCCCGCCCACCACTGGCAATCCGTGCGACCTTGAGCAGTTTGCTAACCTCTGCTCCAGATTCTTGGACTGCAAACATGGGTCACTAGGAATCCAGCAGGTCATTGACCACCTAACTGTTTATTAAATGCTCGGTTTACACTTACCCCAATACTGCAGATACGTTCCTGCTGGCAAGGGTCAGCCACGCGCAGCGTGGGCAAGATAAAGAGGGATAATCAATACGTGATGACTTATTACCAAGACAGATCAATAGATAATTGCCTTGCAGTGTGATGAGTGCCCATTGCACCAATGGAGGGCCTGGCGAGGCGGCAGTTGACAAAAACAGCTGTCCTGGGAGGCTGAGGCCAGGAGCCATGCTGTGGAAGGCAGGAGGGAGGGAGGGAAGGAAGGCAGGAGGGGAGGGTGGAGTCTCTAGGAGGACCATTAATGGGGGGAGGGGGAGCTTCTGGGGGTGAGGAGCAGCAAGCACCGCTGCATTTTGGGAGCCTGGCACCTGGGCTGCAGGCTGAATCCAAGCCAGGACACCCCAAGGGCGAGTGGGGCCTCTGTAGGGCCAGCTCAGCCCCAGATTTCTCAAAGTAATTGAAGTATTTCCTTCTGCTGTTGTTGCGGTTGGTTTCATCAGAACTTGACAAGTGAATTCCTAGAGTTTCCAGTTTGTCATGCTTTGGGACACCCTTTGGGTACATGACCTTTCTGATCCCTGGCCTCGGCCCAGGCAGCACAAGTGCGGTGTCCACATGCAGCCCTGTGAACCCCACCTTCCGATCTCTTTCTGAGAAAATTACAACTTATCAAACTCATTGTTCTAAACCCCGTCAACACTCCTCTTTGCTGATGGGATTAGAAATTGGTGAGAACAAGAATTTCCTAAATGGATAACTGCGTTCTCGTGACCCACCATCCTCGCGCTGCCTTTGAAAGAGAAATTTACAGAGGAGAACCCGCTGGCGGTGCTGCCGTCCGCCTCCTGCACGTGAGTGCAGGGCGTGCACCGGGAGGCCAGCCTCATCAGTGATGCCTCAGAGGTCAGTGTTAGGGTCCCCACTTCTCAGGCTCAGGGGGGCTGGGAGCCTTGCATCACACAGTGCCACACACAGCATTCAAACAGTGGGGTCGAAACCCCAAGTGAGTGCCACCTCCAAAAGGTGGGTCCATTTCCTCGTGGGGCTCTCATCCGTTCTAGAGGAGCAGGGAGGTCTCAGGCATCCAGAAAGACTCATCCCCTACTGGGTAGCAGGCTTGACTCTTTTTCTTTCTTTCTTTTCTTTTTTTTTTTTTTTGGTGGGACCCTTGCCGGTGGCCGGGAACCGAACTGGCGCTGCAGAGGCTGTGGGCAGCCTCGCAACCCAGCGCTCAAGCACTGCGCCACCAGGGGAGGCCTTTGACTCTTTTTCTTAATAGCCATGGACGCGGCACTGGTCATGTGCCAGGCGCTTCCCTAACTTTATAGGGTGTATTAAGTCCACCCTCCCCCCATGTGCAGATGAGGAAACTGAGGCCCCACAAGACTGAATAACTTGCCCCAGATCACAGGGCTGACAAGTGGGCCCAGGTTCCAGCCTGGGTGGTCTGCTCCTAAAGCCCATACCCCTTGCCTTTCTGTGGAGAAGACTGGTCTGGCCAAGGCGTCCAGGGGTAACAAGAGCGTTCCAGTCAGGTACTTCTTAGGCTTAGGGAAAAAGAGCATCCAGTTGCTTCTCAGGGCCATGGAGACGGGCCTGGAGGGTTTGAGCTCTGGCCCTTCGTTCGTCTCCCATCCGGCAGCCATTTGTGGAACAGCCTCCCGGGGCACGTCCAGCCTCCAGGAGGCTCCCAGCTAGAGTGAAACAGCTCACCCTGGGGGACAGCCCACCTGGGGGACAGCTCGCCGTCAAGGGGGGGACAGTTCACCTGGGGGACAGCTCACCATCGAGGGGGGCAGCTCACCTGGGGGACAGCTCGCCGTTGAGGAGGAAGCAACACAGACAGGTCGGGTCTGGACACCTCAGTCACAAAGGCTGTTGAGGATGCAAACATTAATCTAAAAATGTGTGGCCTGGAATTCAGCAAATACCGGTAAATGGCAGTGACTCTGGCTTTATTCCTCTCTCGCTCTTTGCATCTCTTAGGAGGCAGCTGGCGGAGAGAACGCCAAAGGTGCCTTGAACAGCTGAGCGGCCTTGCTCTCACCAGCTTTCGTACAGTTGACCAGGCGTGAACTTCCCCAGAACCTACTGGAGAAGCTGTGCTTGTTAAGCATAACATCCTCTCCCTTTTCTTTTTTGAACCTGGTCTGAATTACAACTCTGTTTACGGGACGGCCAGACCCCGGAGGTTATTTTGAAGAAGGCGGTGCTAGCTCTCTGCACAACCTTCAGCGGGACTCTAGTCCAGTCTGACGGGGCCGGGCCACGGCTCTGACGCACAGTGAAAGGCCTCACGTTCAGTCGGCTCAGACGTCACTTCTGGCCTTTTGTCTTCATTGTCGCACCTGCTCTGTGAGCTGTCTTTTAACTCTCTATCAATGACTTTCACTCTTGATGGAGTAATCTAAGGGACATTAGCTGATCTGACCAGAAACAAAATGTGGAATTGGGGTGACTGGCAAAAGCCACTGATCGGTCCTTTCTATTTCTTGTTGAAATCGGGTTCTGTCTGGACCAGGCCAGGAACAGCCCTGAGGTGTGGCTCAGATGGTGGACACACCTGGCCTGAGGGAGAGGCAGGCACCCTGGAGGGTCTCTGACGTGTGCTCCTGTGGGAGCCTGGCGGTTCAGAGGGCTCTGCAGTGTCACCCTGGTTGGCTCTCTCTTCTTGGGCAGAATTGATTTTCTAACCAGGTAATGTTTGGAATATGAGCATTTCCATTATGGCTGCTGTAGGAGGCCCATAAACTCAGGGCACACGTCCTGTTCCCCTTTCTGCCTGGCCAACTGCCTGGTCCCAGCGCTCAGTGGGGTTCTCTGCAGAGCAAGCATTGCTGGGTCGAGTCTACCCGCCAAGGGGATGAACTGAGAGTCAGAAGTGCCCGCGTGGCCAGGCTGGCCTCCGATTTGGCTTTGCCATCAGAAAGCTGGCGGCCTGTGGCACGGGGCTCCTCCATCTGTGTCGGGTGAGAGGGGCAGGAATAGCAACCTGGCCTGGCCCCTGGAGGTGACTGAGCCCCTCGGGACCATGAGCGGCCAAGAAGGATGTCCCCACCTCTGGCCAAACACCACGTTGGCCCACATGGGCATCGGAAACGGTCTCAAGGATTTAAGTGGCCTTTTTCCATGAGCTTAAACAGCAGGGGCCTTCCCTTATTTTCAGGCACTTGACTTTCTGGTGGCAGAGGCCAAGCTGAGGGGAGGTCCCCAAATCCCCACTCTGCTTCTGCTGCCTGGGGAGGCACTCCTGAGCTTCCAACTGAGAT